TTTTTTTTTTTACATGTAAAAGTTCAGGAAAACGTGGACTGCTGATACACTAGTGAGGCGTAAACGCATCTTAGCTCCAACTTGGTTGCCCCCGTTCTGGATAATAAGGGCAACCAAGATCGAGTTGATAATCGATTGTTTGTTGCCGTGAAGAAAAAATGATAAGGTTAGCAAAAGGCTAGTTGTTCACGGACATCCTTAAAAAATAACTAGTACCTAGCTTTATCATTCAACGTGGTTCTCCAACACTTCATTTTTCCAGCCCTTCATCGTCCCTCTAGAATATTTCGTATTCCCAAAAACAACGTTGAGAGGTAGTCTGTTTATTAGGATAAATATTAAATAGTGTATTAGTGCGTTGATTGCTAATTAACAGTTACAAATAATTCATAGCGATAAGAAAGAAGAAAAAGAATTAATTAGTTTCTATCGCAAAAGAAAGGAAGAATAAGCCCTGGCTTCCTTGAACTTGGCATACTTTCTGTGAAAGAATTTCCCGACAGGTACTGGTACTTTGTTAACATCGTTCTCCAGCAATGCAGATGCAACTTCTTTAGTTACTTTTTCCATGCCGCACCACCTGGTGGTCAGTTTTTCTGGCAATTTTGGTGTTTTTTCCATCTTCCGAAAGGTTCGCCAGCTCAATCGCTTTTCGGCAGAAACATTTAGCAAGACTTTAGGAGTTTCGAACTGATGCGATTTGAACGTGATTCCCGGTACAAAAGCAGCTAAATCAAACTTCTCCGAATTTCATAGCAATCTCTTTAATGAGCTGGAGTTCCAGGACGTAACATTCCAGCACGTGACTGTTACAGGTAGAGGGTGAGCGCATACCGAAGCGTGACACTGCCGCAGTGTTACACGAACGGTATGGTGATTTCCGGGAGAATTGTTTCCCACAGCCAAGCGGCGGATGTAAGTGTAATATTATGGGACCAGGTGGCGTGCCAGCAGTCAAAACCTATGATTCGGATGTGCAGTGCAAGTTACCCATTGAAGGTACCCGCAGTCAATAATTTCTGTTAGTCAGTAAATGGTTTGTTATTTGTAACTGGTGTGCCTGCACGACTCATCGAATCCTGAAATTTTTTTTTTTTTGGAATGAACTTTAGCAGTCGTTGTCCCATCAGGATTGTTTTTTTTTT